CAGACTAAACATGAAGAGCAATCTTGATTTATAACAACCTGCTCTCAAAGTAACTAATCTAGTTTCTCAAGAATAAAATATGACTCCCTTGTGATGGTATTAATCTATTCATGAGGGATCCACTGCCCTGACCCAAACAACTCCCACTAGGTCCCACCTTCCAATATTGTTTCTTTGGCAATTAAATTTCAACATTAGTTTTCGTGCAGACAAATCACATCCAATTCATAGTACATGGTATTAAAAGCTAAGGCTTTTGGAAGTTGATTAGGTCATGAGGGCAGAGTCCTCATGAATGGGATTTGTGCCTTTATGAAAGAGGCCTCAAATATGAAAACATTTCTTTGTCCCTTCTATCATGTGAGAACACAATGAGGTCTCTATCTATGAAAAAAACAACCTTCACCAAACATTGCATCTGCTGGGACCTTGATCTTGGGCTTCCCAGCCTCAAGAACAGTGAGAAATCAATAGTAGTATGTTGTTTATAAGCCACTCAGTTTATGGTATTTTGTTATGGCAACACAAAGGAAGTAAGACAAGAGTAAATAAATTGCTGAAGCAAGATGGCTAAGGAGTTTACAGGGTATTCTATCTAGTAGAGATTAACTCCCAGCAGAAGGAGGAACACTTCTTTCTAGAAGAATAACAGAAGCTGGTACACATTGTCTTGTCCTAACTCTTTCATAAATACTTCCGTTTATTTTTGTATGACTTTCCTTACTGATACTTTAGATTCAATTTAGGACTGTGGAATGTAGTAAAATTATTTAAATGTCTTACCTTTGAGACACAAAGGTCCTGTGATAGATGTATTATTATAAAAAGCTATGTAAGAAAAATCTGTAAACAAATTAGGGGTTGACAACTGTTTTAAAAAACTAAATAAATGATAAAACACAATAAAAATTCAATTTAAAAATTAATAAAATGAAACAAAACAGTTCAGGCACACTGTGGTTTCCCCTCACCAATTACCACAATTTTTGCTGGACTTTGGATAGGTGTAGGTTTTCCTCTAACAGTACAAACACACACTTTAATTCCAAGGACAAATACTTTATGGATAAATATTAACATTATAGGAGTATTATTTTATAACATAGGAAATAGCAACTTCAGAATCGTTGTTTGACTTGCTGAATATCATAAAATATCCAAATTATTTTTAATATCATCTGAGCTCTTTGTGTTTTCCATTATGTGGGTCAACTAGTTGAGGATAATAACCTCAATAAGATTTAAATTATACTTCTTAAAGGTACTGAGGTTTATTAACTAGCATTCATGTGTCAAAGATTTGGGTGATCTGTCAGTGTTGGGGTGGTTACCGTTGATAAAGTCAATACTTAGAACTCTTGCAATTTTAGAGCAGCACTTCACAACTTGTGGTCCTTAGAATGCCGTATTTTTAGAAGTGGAAATTCTCAGGTCTGCCCAAGATCTACTGGACTAGAAACTCAGGAATCTGTTTTAACAAGCCTTCCAGGTGATTCTCTGCTTCTTATATTTTGAGAACCACTATTCTTTTTTTTTTTTTTTTTTTTTTTTTTGAGACAGAGTCTGACTCTGTCGCCCAGGCTGGAGTGCAGTGGCATGATCTCTGCTCACTGCAATCTCCGCCTCTTAGGTTCAAGCGATTCTCCTGCCGCAGCCTCCTGAGTAGCTGGGATTACAGGCACGCACCACTATGCCTGGCTAATTTTTTGTATTTTTAGTAGGGACGGGATTTCACCATGTTGGTCAGACTGGTCTCGAGCTCCTGACCTTGTGATCCACCCGCCTTGGCCTCCCAAAGTGCTGGGATTACAGGCGTGAGCCACAGCGCCCGGCTGAGAACCACTATTTTTAAGGCTACAACTTACCTACAATAAATAGTAAAAGGACCAACTGATGAAAAACAGATGTTCCAAATTTATTTTACTTTCATTTAAATATTAAGCAATTTTCTTTTTTTTAAATTATAAAGCACATCTTATGTTTTTGTATGCTTTGTCAAAGATCAGTTGGTTGTAAGTATTTGGCTTTATTTCTGGGTTCTCTATTATGTTCCATTGGTTTACATTCCTATTTTTATACCAGTACCCTGCTGTTTTGGCTACTATGGCCTCGTAGCATAATTGGTAAATGTGATGCCTCTAAATTTGTTCTTTTTGTTTAGTATTGCTTTGGCTATTCACGCTCATTTTTTTGTTCCATATTAATTTTAGGAGGATTTTTTTTTTTTTTTTTTTTTGGTTCTGCTAGGAAAGATGATGGTATTCTGATCAGAATTGCATGGAATCTGTAGATTGCTTTGGGCAGTATGGTCATTTTCACAATATCAGTTCTTTCCATCCATGATCTGGGGATGTGTTTCCATTTGTTTGTATTATCTATGATTTCTTTCAGCAGTTTTTTTTTGTTTGTTTTTGTTGTTGTTGTTGTTGTTGTTGTTGTTTTTCTTGTAGAGATCTTTCACACCCTTGGTTAAGTGTATTTCTAAGTATCTTTTATTTTGCAGCAAAGAAACATATATTAGGGAAAAGATACTGTATTCAGTAAATTGTGCTGGAAAAAGTGGTAAGCCGCATGTAGAAGAATGAAACTGGATCCCCAGCTCTCACCTAATACAAAAATCAACTCAAGATGGATCAAAGACTTAAATATAAAACCTGAAACCTGAAAATTCTAAAAGATAACACCAGAAAAACTCTTCTAAATGTTGGCTTGGGCAAAGAATTCATGACTAAGACACCAAAAGAAAATGCAACAAAAACAAAAATAAATGAATGGGACTCAATTAAACTAAAAAGCTTCTGCACAACAAAGAAATAATCAGAAAAGTAAACAGACAACCTACATAATGGAAGAAAATATTCACCAACTATGCCTCTGACAAAGGACTAGTATCCAGAATTTAAAAGGAACTCAAACAAACCAGCAATAAATAAATAAATACAAAAATCCCATTAAAAAGTGGGCAAAGGGCATGAATAGACAATCCTTAAAAGAAGATATACAAACAGCCAATAAACATTAACAAAAAAAATTCAGCATCGCTAATCACCAGGGAAATGCAAATTAAAACCACAGTGAGATTCCACCTTACTCCTGCAAGAATGTCCACAATTAAAAAGTCAGAAAACAATAGATGTTGGCATGGATGTGGTGATAATCAGATCAATGAACACAGATTTGGGAAGAAATGGGCATAATTGGTTTCAGCTAGCCAACATGCTGGTCCCAGTATACCACTGGCTACAGCGTTCTAAAAGTGTCCTCATACGGCTCTATTAAACATTCAAGAGCTTTGAGCAATATATCCTCTGCCAAATACTCTCAAAAAGTCTTGGTGGTGTAGGTGTGGGGGTAAGGTGGGGGTTTTTCTGAAATGGAATCATGTTAATGTGGACTTAATGTTAAAATATGAGTTTTCAGAAAGTGTGCTTTATTTTAGTTGGCTAAATACCTACATTGTAAAATTTTTTAAAAATCTATAATTATCTCTTAATTTATTCATTATACTATTATATGTGTCAGGCATTTTCTTCCTGGCTCTCATATCATTTGTGTTTGTTTTATACTAATGAAATATAGAAAAACTCTGTAGTATATAGGGCCCGATGGAACTTTTAAGAGTAAGAAATTTTAATTTGTATATTATGGAAAAATCATCTCAGGAATATTCGTTTATAAATATGCAGCTACAATTTTTAGAATGTCAAAAAATAATCCTTTCACCTGAGTTGTCTTGAGTAAATAACTTTTAGAGTTTTAAATTGGATTGTTTATGTAATCATTATAAAGGTGATCTGAGGTAAATTGCTTAAGCATTTTCTTTAGCTTTTTGCAAGATGAAAAATGGAGAACAAATATTTGCTCAAATATCGAGTCAAACTAATTTTGAAGAGAAATCTCTAAATATTTATTAAATGACCAAAATATGAGAAAATGTTTAAAAAGACTGCAAATAGAAACACATCACTTTAAAGCATACAAAGAGCTAAATGGAAAAAGTATTTTCCCAGAACATGCTAAAAAAAAGCCTTAGAATATCCAGGATACTGTATTTATTCATCCTTACAACATGAATTTTAATATCTTAGTGGCTGAGCTATCATTTTCAGTGTTCTGTATGAATTCTTACCTTCTCAGAAGATTATGTAGATATAACAGATACTTCTGGAATATATATATCCATGATAAGATTTGTCTTTTTACAAGAGAAAAGAAAATATATCAAGTCCAACAGAACTTAAGAAAATAAAATTTAATTAACTCTACATGATATAGACCTTGTTAATATTATATATCAAAAAAGAATAGTTTATATTCTTTTGTCTGTAAGATGGGGGAGCTGTTGCATTATAAAAAATACTGGTCAGTTCCATTCCTCTAAGCATTTTCTTTTGATTAAAACCATTTGTAATAAAAATGATGACCCAAACCTTTGTAAATGGTATTTTAGCTGGATTATAGTCTAATGAAATTGTGCTTTTAAAAGTGCTTCAATTACTACAACTATAAAATCTTGGTTTACTAGGAATATGTATAAAGCGAAGTATCCATTATTCCTTTAACATCAGTATATATTGTTTAACATTCTATTTTTGGGCTAAGACTTCCTAGGCTTGACAGAAGAGATGTTGTTTATCTGACCAACATAAAAATCTGTGTGTGTGTGTGTGTGTGTGTGTGTGTGTGTATAAAAATAAATGTTCTGTTGTTATTTAGTTATGTCTCCCCTGAAAACACTGATAGATCCAACAATTCTCTTGATTCCTCTTAAAGATAAGCAAGAAGAAAAATAAAGTATGTCAAACTTAAACTTGAGTAAATCCAAGTTGGAAAACAAAACTAGACTTTTTTTTTAAATCCTACTGGATGAATATTGAGAGAGACAAAAATATTAACACCACATAAATTATAACCTAGAAAAAATTCTAAACCAGGTTGAAAACCTACTCATAAACAGTCAATAATATCATACACTTATGCAATACAATTTTTTTTTACAGAAAGAAATTTAGTAATTACCTCATGCTGTATATGTAGGAAAGAAGACAAAGAAGAAAAATTCTTTACGGTATGCAATTGCTTTTCTCCTGCCTTATCTTGGTATTTGTAGAAACCCTTGGAAATAGAAAAAGTGAACATTGTGTTCCTGTTCTATAGTTTAAAAAATTGACATACATAAGTTATTTTTAATTTATCCAGTTAATCACCAGTAATCATGATGCTTTATGAATGACAATTCTTTTACATTTATTCAAAAATATGGGGAAAATAAATGACATCTGCCTACATAACTTAAAATTCTTGAAGAAAATGTGTATAGGAATAACTTGTTATTAAATGTTATAGAAATATTAGTTCTTGGTCTCTTATAGTAAGTGGCTAATCATCATGTCTACCTTTATGTATAATTTATTTACATTTTAAAATGTTCTAACCTTGAATACATAGGGAACAAATATCTGATGATAGGTGTTTGCAAGGCAGGGTCAGTGTTTTTTCTTGATATTTTCTCTGAAATACCTGAGTATCTACTAGGAATCTAACATGGAAGGATAATTACATATTAGGATGGTAGCAAATTTTTATACACCCAATTTATGGCCAAGCAAAACAAAGTGTAATGTGTATGAGCATGTATGTGCTCCTTTCACCAATTTTCTTGTAGTAGAATTTATAAAACTGCATATATACATGACGTACAATATGATGATTTGATTTATATATACATTGTGAAATAATCACCACAATCAAGTTAATGAACACATTCATCACCTCACAGTTTTCTGAAATTACATTTATCAAACTCCATTTGAAAGTAAATGTTTTCTCATTGTTGACCATGACTTTAAAACTTTATTACAGATTAATGTAAAGAAAGCTACCAAAAATAATTTTAGTAATAAAACATCTGAATATACACCATGAAATGTATGTGCTGATTTTAGGAGTACAACTAAATGAGTAATGCAAACTTACTTGCAGGATCATCACATAAACACTCTTTCTCTTTCTCTCTCTCTCTCTCTCTCTCTATGTGTATATATATAACTTATATGCATATGATATATCTTATATATCTAACTATATATAGAGAGAGAGGGAGAGAGACTATAGACTAATATAACCTTTCCATTAACTATGTATTAAGTCAGCCTTATAATAATGCCCCTGGATTATCTGACCCTTTAATAAAATGTTATACCTATTTAGAGACTTGGATTGCGCCTGTTTTTACTAAAAGTTGTTATTCATAATATTATTAGTAAGGTAATTCATATAAACCCTGCAGAGAAGCTGTATAACTGTACATATAAATAGTGAAGAGAAACTGACCTGGCAATCGGAGATGTTGAAATTATTCCAACTCCGCTGCCAACTGGCTCTGTGTCTTTGGAGAGGTTACGTAATACCTCTGAGCTATAGTTTCCTTATCAGTAACATAGACTAGATGATCTTTAAAATTTCATTCAGCACATAACTTGATCTCTAACTTAAAAGAGGTGGAATAAAAATCACGACTACAAATTATTAGCTTTACTATGGTTGTACTTTGTTTTTACACCTTACAGGCACTAAAAACTACCTAGAGTTAATTAGTATTCTTTTCAAAAAAAAAATTATTTCTGGCCGGGCGCGGTGGCTCAAGCCTGTAATCCCAGCACTTTGGGAGGCCGAGACGGGCGGATCACAAGGTCAGGAAATCGAGACCATCCTGGCGAACACGGTGAAACCCTGTCTCTACTAAAAAGTACAAAAAAAAAAAAAAAAACTAGCCGGGCGAGGTGGCGGGCGCCTGTAGTCCCAGCTACTCGGGAGGCTGAGGCAGGAGAATGGCCTGAACCCGGGAGGCGGAGCTTGCAGTGAGCCGAGATCCGGCCACTGCACTCCAGCCTACGTGACAGAGCGCGACTCCGTCTCAAAAACAAAACAAAACAAAACAAAAAAATTATTTCTTACAAATCTTATGCTATTCTGTAAGGCATAGGTCTAATATGTATTTAATGTAGCTTTCGTACCAACTGCAAAAACTTTAAAGCATATCCGAATGTGTGAGTTTTGTAAGACTTGAATGGTATAAATGAAAGTAATGGAAATTTTATTATATTCTATTATCGATTGTATGATTAGAGTTGTTGAGTGGTAAATCAGTGTCTTGTGTGTGTGAAAGACAGAGAACTGATGACAATTGTAAAAGCCGAAGATCCTCAAGACGGAATAGTGGTTAGGATAATAGGCTTTGAAATTAGAACCGATATTTTACTTCCAGTGTTTGCCACATCTCAGTGGTATGACATTGGGAAAGTAGGTTAATTTCTCTGAATTACTGCATCTGTAGTATGCAGATTGCAATACATATATACACACATATATATACACACACATATATTTCAAGAATAAGCATAGATGTTAAAGTTAGCAATTATTGAGGGCATGAGTGTATGTACGTTATATTTTTAAATCCTTAAAATGAATTATGTAAATTCCTTAACTTTTTAAAAAATTTAATCCAAAGTGCTTTCATTTGACAAGGGCTTTCCCCCTTCACTATCTTATAGGTAATGGGATTGATAATGAATAGGTAACTGTGTGGCATGGCTCTCGATATAATTTTCTTAGAGGCAGAATTGCAATGAGGATATATCATTTCTGGAATCAGATTATTAGATAAGACCGCTTAACAGTTGAAAAATATCCAGCATGTGCATTATTAACTCCTCAACTTGAAAAGTCTAAAATGAGACTTCAGAGAATAAGATAAGAAAATATAGAGAAGAAAATATCTCTCAAAAGGAAGAAGTAAATTAAGCAAGTTTTTTTCCCATAACCTACTAAACCTACCTTGAAAATAGAAAGGAAAAAAACACACACGTACATGCAGAGAGAGAGAGAGAGAGAGAGAGAGAGAGATTTGAAGGGAAGAGCAATTATCCCAAAGCCACCAGAAAAAAAAAAAAAAAAAAAAGCACTTTGTTTGTTTTGAAAGCAATCAAATCAGGTTCTGAAATCGCTTTTTCATTTTTCTCCTTAGTGAAAACAAACATCACATAAATCCCCATGTGAAGGGAATGCTGAGAGAATAACTTCTCCAAACAAATTTGCATGTGCCCACAAACCAAAAGCATTTCAATGGGACATTTTATTTTAAATTTTTTAATTTTAATTTAATTTTTTCAACATCTGCTTATTAATATGCTTTTAAGACTTTGCGGTTAAAAATTTCTTTAAAATGTTTTTAGATGATAAAACTCAATTATTATTCTCAGCAAACTATCGCAAGAACAGAAAACCAAACACCGCATGTTCTCACTCATAGGTGGGAACTGAACAATGAGATCACTTGGACTCGGGAAGGGGAACATCACACACTGGGGCCTATCATGGGGAGAGGGGAGGGGGAAGGGATGGCATTGGGAGTTATACCTGATGTAAATGACGAGTTGATGGGTGCTGACGAGTTGATGGGTGCAGCACACCAACATGGCATAAGTATACATATGTAACAAACCTGCGCGTTATGCACATGTACCCTAGAACTTAAAGTATAATAATAACAATAAAAAAAAGAACCCCCCCCAAAAAAAAACTCAATTATTTAAGGAAATGACAAGTAATGTCATGTATACTACTGGTAGCTCTTTAAATCACAAAAATATGCAAACATAGATGCAATTTAATTTTAACTTTCACTGCTTGATTATGAAATCATAAGCAATTATTTAAAAATATTTTACATGTTAACATACATGAGCACATGCCATGAATCCAATATACATCTTTAGTTACATGTAACATAAAATACCAGTTTCCATGTGTATAAGTACAGAATTCACTTTATGCAGAAAACATGTCTAAAAATTTTCCACCTGATACTTCAAATACCAACCTGAGGCCAAAAATGTTAAATTAAGATAAATAAGCCTGTACAAGTACGCATGAACATTTAAAAAAAAAGACTAAAAAGTTTTATTAGTCCATTTTCACACTGCTATAAAGAAATACCGGAGACTGGGTAATTTATCAAGATAAGAGGTTTAATTGAACTAAAGTTCCGCGCGGCTGGAAACTTACAATCATGGCAGAAGGGGAAGCAGGCCATCTTACATGGCGGAGACAAGAGAGAGAGTGTGAAGAAGGAACTGTCAAACACTTACTATCATGAGAACAGCGTGGTGGGAACCGCCCTCGTAATCCAGTCACTCCCCACCTTGTCCCTCCGTCAACACATGACATTTACAATTTGAGATGAGATTTTGGGTGGGGACACAGAGCCAAACCATATCGAAAGGTAAACACCAACATAGTAAAGTGATTATTTCAGTGTTGTTATTATGGTTGATTTTTAAATCAATTATTGCTGATCTAATTGTTAAAACTGCTCATGTTTATATTTTGTATGTTAATGCTTTAGGTGTTTCTCGTACTACATGATTTTGTGTCAGTTTCTTTGTGATTATCCTGGTAGTTACAATTTACATATTAGTTGAAAATCTAGATCAGATTACTACTGAATTAATTTGGATGACATATTTTAAAAGTTGTTACAATACAGCTCTATTTCTCCTACTTTGTATAATTATTCTCATGTAAATTACATGTCTATGCATTATGAGCCCATCAACAATATTTTTAAAATATTGCTTTACACAATCGTGCTTTAAATCAGACAGTAAAATAAAACAATTGCTAATAAAAACTACTTTTATACTGTCTATTTACCTATATAGTTAGATTTACCAGTGTAATTTCTTTTTCTTTTTATTTTTTTGGATTCAAGTTAATATTTAGTTTTCTCGAGCGTAAAAACTTCCTCCTGGGGCTCATCTGCTAGTGACACATTCTCTTTTTATTTTGGAATGTCTTAATTTGTCCTTGATTTTTGAAGAATAGTTTTGCAGAAGATAGAATGTTTGGGCTGACAATCTCTTCTTTCAGCATTTTGAATATGTACTTCCACTAACTTCTGGTCTCTGTGGTTTCTGATGTCAATATTATTGAGTATATATGTGAATAATTTTTTAAGCTACTTTCAAGGGTCTCTCTTTGTACTCGCCTTTCAAAGCCTTGATT